TAAATCCATCTCAGGATATATTTATTACGATCGGAATAACACATTTGAAATATTTACATTTTCAAACTGATTTAAAATTCATAGTTAAAAAAAAAAACATTTCTGAAAATTTTAAAAGCTTGAATCGTATAAGTAAACTTTAAAAATTAAAAATCTTGTTTTGGAACCCGACAAAATTAGTACTCATTTTTAAAAACTTTATCGAATATATGATAATTTGATGTGCATATGTCTAATGTTCAATTTTGAACGCCAAATACCATTTTTTTTTACTTTTTCCTCTGTATCCCCGAAAGAGAGCGTCCATTATTACCGTGACCCCCTCCCCCCTTAATGATTCGTTGTGATCTTCAAAATCACCGCACGCTTTCCCCTTCAAACATTATGTGTATTTTCAGTTAGGAGATTTTTTTTAATTCTTGTTTTTTTTAATAAACGCATTTTACAATTTATTTATTAATTAAGCCCAAAATAACATGCAACATGTACACATAAATAAAACATTTCGAATTGTTGCGAATGAAACGTCAAACGTCAAAACAAAAATGGCGACTACAAACGCCAACTACACGGAAAGAAATAATTAACGGATTGCAAAAATAAGCTGAATGTTGGTACACCTGCAAACACATCTGTGAAGAATGCGTTAAGCGAATTGACACTTGAGTCAAAATGTCGGACTTAAATAAATTGTCGGAGTTAAAATTAATTTTTTTTAATAATAAAACTATGGTTGTGGTCATAAATATTTGTCTTATCGGTATAATTATTAATTTTTAGTGATGTTTAATCTTTTTGTTGTGAATATGAATTCAAATGTGATTTATTGTAAGTGAGTGAGTCTATCTTTGAAGAATTGTTTATTGATGCTTGAAATTAAAGGTAGGATTTCATACAATTTATACAATATATTTAAACGCAACATCTTTTTTTACGGTATGCCATAATGTTCAGATACCTTTGAAACGTAAATATATACAAACATTTTCATTTTCGTACCATACGGGAAGTTAAAAAATAAATTATTTTATTGGAACATATTGTACGTATTTGATTATTATTACGCAGATAATGCACAGATTATTTACGTACTGCTGCAATAATTATGTATACACATATATAAGATATGAAACTAGTTAGAAAACACATTACTCGATTACATACTTACTAGGAACAGACAGGCATAGATTTATTTTTCATATATTTTATATACTTTTGCAACAATACGTAAATAATATGTAAATCGTCTGCGTAATAATAATCAAATAAGTACCACAATGAAAACATGTATTTATTATGATATAATCGAGTATTATGTTTTCTAACGAACTTACATATCTGTTTGTCTGTACTCTATGCATTAAAAAAATTACATTAAATTGCCCTAAAGTTTTGGAAAATTATTAGGTATATCCCATCAAAGGTTTTCGCATATTTTCAATAAAACTAAGTTGTAAGGATTAGCCACCTTATAGATATTTTATTTATTTTTTAGCACAATTTTTGCTTTTTTAGTTTTTTATAATGTGTATAAAAAGCATGCATAACTCAAAATTTGCACTCTTTTACCCCAAACACTTGTTTTGTATTATTTTCGTTGCATTTGTGTTTATGAAAGAACAGCATTTTTGTTTTTTTTTATTATTATGCTGTAATTTTCCCAAAAAGCACTTTTCACTTGAGATCATATTGGAGACTTATCTCAAGTGAAAATCTTATGTCAAACTAGACCACAACCGATTCTTCTTAAAACTATAGTGTTTTTTTCGAGGGCATTGACATTTTTGATTTTTCAAAATTATATATTATTTTTACATTACTTAATATTTTTCACTAAATAACTTTATAAGATAAGAAATGCTACTTCTGAGTGTCATATATATACAGGCGTTTTTGAGCAAACGTCGATGAAATGTCTAATTTTGACAAATGCCAAAAAAACGATACTAATTTTTGCAAACTTTGACGAATTTTCAAAGCTAAACGAGTTGTCGTAGGGCCGTAATATTTTAGTATGATCTAGAAGACTATGGTGTCCTCCGTCAAAAAATAATAATAACTAGTTGGTATTGGTTTATTAAGTTTTGTAGACTTGACGTAATGCATATAACGAAGATGATCGAAACTTTTCACAGATTTCGGAACATTATAGACTGCATGGAAAAAATTTGAAAAATTTTAAAACTGTTTTTTAGATGTAATTTAGCGAACAAATGAATGAATAAAACTCATTCATTTGTCGCTAAGTTATACCTAAAACATTTTTTTTCAATTTTCAAAAATTTTTCCATGCTCTTTCCATACGAAGTTTGATTGAATTGCGCTCTATGTAAACGTTGACATTAAGAGCTAAAACTTTCAGAGAATTGTTTTTATCAATTTGGAACCATTTGAGCCTTTGGGAGCAAGGAAATTCGAAAATGCCCATTTAAGGACCACCCTAATATACATGCATATATATATACTAGCTGACCCGGCAAACGCTGTTTTGCCATCAAAAATATTTTGCCGCATTGCAGAAGTTCTTATAATATACATGATATATTAATAATAATGTTATATTTTTATTACACAAATTTCTTTACATTTTGATAATTAATTCGAACGCATCATAGTGCTTTGTTTATTTTAATTTTATTTATGTCAAATAGTGAAATATTTTTAATCAATGAATAAATTAGATTTTAGTCTGAATCATCGCAGTACCATTATCTAAATATATAATTTTTATATAAATATCAGATTTTTTACTTTTGCATTTAATTTAAAAATATTGAATGTCAATTTCATATATCCAATATGCACTAAATTTTTAAATGCCAAAATATTTCCTTTTTGGTTCGAAATTTAATATAATATGATATAATTTACATCTATAATTTGATTGCCTATAACATAACTGGAATAATTAATTTATTTGTATCTTATTGAAGTCGTTAAAAATTCATTTTTTTTTTGAATTGTCAGAATTTTGTTTATGATTAATGTTAAATTCAATATGTCGCTTTTTTATTGTGATCTAAAATGTTTTAATCACTTATCATATAAATTTTCGACTGCAAATTGATATTCATACTATTCCTGAAACTAACATGGATAAAGTTCTGAGAAATCCGAGTCCAAATCTATAAAATGTTTGATTTTGGCACTTTTATTAATTTTTTATCAATTTTCGTACTGTAAAATAATGGATGATTATTTATCAAAATTGTAATATTTAGACTATAATTTTAGATGTATACTTTTTATTTTGGCATTGAATTATTTTCATTGAAATCAAGTGAAACATAAATATATTTATTCGATATTTATATAAAGCATATGATTAAAATATGCATTAAAATCATATTGTCTATAAATAATATGTCATTTTATAAATAGTATTTATTACTTTGGTGCTTGATATGGGTATGAATTTGTAATAAAATATATTCTTTCTGACAAATAGTTAAAAACTTGTTATAATTTTCAAAATTATTTGACATTTCATACTTCAAAAATTAATTCACTCGCATCATAGCGTTTTGTTTATTATACTTTTGTCATGTCAAATACGTCAATATTTATTTTTTATAAATTAATAATTTTTTTAAGTCATCAATGAATATATTATATGATTGTTAAATTCATTAAATAAGTGCAAATTCAACACAGGAATATTGTGGAAATAAATATTTTTTTACATAAAGATCTGATTTTTGACATTTGCATTTCATTTCAAATTAATTATAACTGTCAAAATATTTTCTTTTGGATCGAAATTTAATATAATATGATATAATATTTAGTTTGTCTAGTTTGTTTTTGTCAGATTGCAATGATACCTTCAGATTGTACTATTCCATTTAAGAGGTTACAATTTTCTGTATGATTAACGTTTGCGATGGCAATCAAAATTTATCTCAACTCATATAATAATAATATTTTATTTTAATTACACAAATTTCTTTACACTTCGATAATTAATTCTAACGCATGATGCAGGTGTTTTGTTTATTTTAATTTTGTTTGTCATTTTTTTTTAAATTAATGAATAAATCAGGTTTCAGTCTAAATTAACAAATCAGTATCTTTATCTGAATATACAATTTTTTATATAAATATTTGATTTTTTATATTTTCATTTAATTGAAAAATAGTGAATGTCAATTTCATATATTCAATATGCAGTATATTTGTAAATGTCAAAATATTTCCTTTTTGGTCGAAAATTAATATATGATATTTATTTTACAATATTATGTTGTATCTATAATTTGTTCGGCAATATAACTTGGAATAATTAATTTATTTGTTTCTAATTGAAGTCGTTAAACATTTTTTTTTGTGAAATGTCAAATTTTTGTTTATGATCAATTTTAAATTCAATATGTCGCCTTTTTATTGTGATCTCTGATCTATAAGGTTTTGATGAAGTTTTGGTATCCGAAATAATTTGGTAAGCTACTTAATCAAATAAATATAAATTGTAAATCTATTTATATAATTATTTTCATAAATATTGACAAATGACATTTGACGATTTTCATATCAACATTTATTCAAATTTATAAACATTGACTTTTAATTAGATTTAAAACTATAAATTGTGATTTTGAATATAGCATTTCATCTAATTTGGATATAAATGCTGGGTATATCTATATATGTATATGTTTTTGAATTAAAGTTTTTGAACTGTCAAATTTTTTTTTCAAAAATCATAAATCTTTTTTTCTCGAGTTTTCCATAAATTTTGACATTTGTCATTTTAGTGTTTTGTTTTTTTTTTGGCCATTTTCTGTCAAAATTTTTAGAAATTTATTAAAATTATATATTTATATTTTTAATTTACTTTTCAAAATTTCCTATAACCTAAGTTGGATATATATGCACACGTTGAGCCAATAAAATTTAAAATCGGTCCAGTAGTTTGGGCGTCCATCGCGAACCAACATCGTGACACGAGATTTATATATATATATATATATATATATATATATTATACTAATTGAACTAACCTGAACGCCAATAAATCCGCTGCATATGATCAGTTGCGATCGCGGGCTTATGAAGCTCGGTCGTTTCGCTGAATGCTTTCCCGCTTTGAAAATCCTCGAGATACGATTTGTTTTCGTGAGCAATGCAGCATACACAACCGTGAAACAAAATCCAGCTCCAAATCTGTAGGAAAAAAAAGAAAAACTGTTTTAAGAAATATGGGAGTCGAGTTACTATACTAAGTATAGTTTGAGTAATGCGATGAATTTAATTGCGATATCTATTTGATCAAAAATTACATAATGCAAAAAATTTTACAGTCAGTTAAATACAAACTTCAACATAATAAAAGTAATAATTTCATATTAATTAATGAATTATTATACATTACATTATATTAGGAGAAATTCGAACAAAATGACGTATATTTTGGAAGCACGTAGTTTATTCGAGCCCAAGAAAAAAAATCTGTGATCGACTTTTAACTTTTACTTTTAGTACTTCTAAAAAGAGATCAAAGGATCCGATGGTAAAAAGAAGGTGTTTGCTTTTACTGCAAAAACACCTTTCCCCGTTCTAAGCCCGATTGTACAATGTAGGACTTGTTTTCTTTGAGGTCCTGCGTTGTGTACTGATGTCCCAAATATGAGCAAAAGATTTAACACTCTTCTAGAAATAAGTATGTCAGTTTGTCCTTATTGTCAGTACTATTTGGGTCAAATGGGTTTTGCAATTAGATGCATTTTACCTCAATAGTTTATTCGAGCCCAAGAAAGAAAAATCTGTGATCGACTTTTAACTCTTACTTTTAGTACTTTTAAAAAGAGACCAAAGTATCTGCTGGTAAAAAGAAGAGGTTTGCTTTTTTGCAAAAACATCTTTTCCCGTTCTAAGCCCAAAGGTACAATGTAGGACTTGTTTTCTTTGAGGTCCAGTGTTATGTACTGATGTCTCGAATAGAGCCAAATGATTTATTTGTGAACTTTCTTCTGGAAATTTAGTATGCCAGTTTGCCCTTACCTTATATGTTATGTTGTTAGTACTATATAGACAAAATAAGTTTTATAATTAGGTGCTTTTTTCCTAAATAAATATGTTATTGCAGGTCCTACTTAATTGAAAGACTATGCTACTAGCAGTCAATGAACATTAGATGGATGACTAAAAACGATTGAAACTGTTTATAATATTTTTAAAAAACAAAACACCACGTTATTTTATCTGTAATTCTTCGATATGTATTACGTTTAAAAATAACAATTAAATTAAATAAAATAAATATTTAGAAAAAATAAATACTTTATAAATAATAAGTCATGATTTTAATTAATTTTTAAATATGTTTTATATCAAATAACTCTGCTAATTATTTACTCCTCACGTTGCATATTCTAGTAAATTCTTAAGCATCAAAAACACTTGTGTAATTTAATTTATTATAGTATTCTACCATAATGCAATAAATTTGCCATGTCTGATTCCTGCTTGCATAATATATTGCAGAGAACAGTACGTAATAAATACATTTAATATGCTGCATGCTCTTGACAGTTACTTGGTTTAATCCATATATCTACGGAATTATAATATATTTTAATGCTCATAATTTCTAAAGTCATGATTTTTATGTGATCTCGTCACATTTTCATTTCACACCAATGATTTAGAGATTTTTTTTTCTTTAATGGATATAAATATCAAATAGAAGAACTTGTAGTTAATCATACAGTGTAATAATTTTATAGTTCATTATACGTATTGTGACTTAAAGCCAATTGCTTGAACATCTCAAGTTATAAATAATAAAACCATAAAAAAATTATAAAACTTGAACAATAAACAATAAATTTAAATTTGCAATTATGAATATAAGTTTTAGATATCGCTACATTAGAAACAAAAAAAAAATTGTCACCAACGATCGCCAAGCCGTTTCTTTGTAACTAGTAGAAAAATGTTCGAAAAATACTATTTGGGAAACGCATTGATTAGTTTTGGGTAAAGATCTGCCGGGCCGTTTCTCTGTAACTAAATATTGCAAAAATGTCTTTTGACAACTTCGATAAAACTTTGTATGGCGATAAGTTTCGTTCATATGAAATAATATACTGAAGTATTATACGTCTACTATAAGGGGTTGAATTATAAACTAGCTGTAAGTGGAATTCTGTCTTAAGGCAATTAAGGCATCGTTAAGGCATTAAAAAATTGTTTGAAAAAAAGTTTTCTTTATTTTGGCATAGTTTGGAAATTCTAAACTTTTTTTAAAAGCAATCGTACTGCTTTAACTGCATAGAGACGAAATATCAAAGCGTGTAAGCGCCGCGTCGCCGTCTAACGGATAAACATTGGTACGGAACCCATGGAAATGTAAACAAAATTCATACTTATTGTAAAAATCTCTATAAAATATCTGATAATTTGATGTGCATATGTCTAATGATCATTTTTGACCGCCAAATGCCTTTTTGTTTTACTTTTTTAATCTCCGAAACCGCTAAACTCGCCTTCATGAAAATTTGATCAATTCTTCATCTTGTCAATTCAAGTAAAATGTTTTTTGAATTTTTAAAATCGGACGCTCCGTTATTTTAAAAACCGTGTTACCGTTTTTGGCACTTTTTGCCCCGTATCTTTGGAACGGCTAAACCTGCCTCCACCAAAAACTAATCAGCACGTCTCCTTATCAATACGAATCGAATGTTTTTTTAAATTATTTAAATCGGTTGATCGGTGTTCTCGAAATCGTCGACGAAAGTTTGTATCCGAACACACACACACACACACACACTCACACACATACATCCATTATTTCTAAGGTATGCCAAAATATTCAGAAACTTTTGAAACGTCGAGAATAGCAAAAATTTTCATTTTTGATTTTTTTGCGATTACTATAAGTTACCCTACGGGAAGTTAAAAATAACAAAATTTAAAATTTCGCAGCGCGTTTATGAGATTTTAGAAAAAATCTATGCCGAAGCATATGCATTTTATTTGTTTCGTATGTGGCTACTGATTACAGCTACTAATTACGCCCGCACTTGATCAAAATATATTGTTAGAACCCGAAAAGAATTAAATAAAACGTGTTAAACAAATTAATTTAATTTATACAATTGCTAATATAGATGTTTGAAAGACAACAATTGGAAATTCTATTGATTAATTTTTAGTAAAAGCAAAAATTTTATTTTCGAAATAAACAGTTAAATACTTTATATAAATAGTTGATTATCACTTTTTATTAACTAGTTGATTATGTATACGTATCGGGAAGTTAATGCAACTTGCCTTGCAACTTGAAAGTTGTTAAACAACTTGAAAATTCGTAGTCTCTATACTGAAATTCTGAATGAACAAATATAACCTATTAATTAAAACTACGGGAAGTCGAAAATATGCTAATAAATATTTATTTTAATTATTAACTTCCCGAAGGAGAAGTTTATGTTTTCATAAAAAAATCCGATTCGCTAATTTTATGTTTTCTCGACGTTTCAAGCCATTTTGAATCGAATGAGACCAAATTTGGAAAAAGTATGTGTGTGTGTGAACGTGTGTATAAACAGAAATCGACGTTGCCGTAAAAAGCCATTCGATGTATTTCGATGAGGACTTGCGTTTCAGAGTTTTGTGTGATCGGCCGAGCCGTTTCTATGTAAATCGCAGAAAAGTGAAACATTATTCGTCCACATTTTAGCCCGCAATTCTTAATCAATTTTGAAAATGCAAAAATCGTTTGAAAGATATTGGTTGGGAATCGTGCTGATTAGTTTTTGGTAGAGCTCGGCCGGGCCGTTTTATTTTAATAAAGTTTTTTTTTTTAAAAAATCGACGATTTTTATGAACATTTTTTTGACGGTAGATACCATAGTCTTCTAGATTATACTAAAATATTACGGCCCTACGACAACTCGTTTAGCTTTAAAAATTCTTCAAAGTTTGCAAAAATTAGTATCGTTCTTTTGGCATTTGTCAAAATTAGACCGTTGATCGACGTTTTCTTAGAAACGCCTGAACCGATTTCAGAAATTTAAAAGCCATTTGATGTATCTCAATGGAGACTATCGTTTGTCAGTTATGTGAGACGATCTGTTAAACCGTTTCTTTGTAATTTGAAAAAAAGTGTTAAACTTTCCGTCCACATTTAAGCTCAAACTACCGAATCGATTTTAAAAAATCAAAAACTGTCCGAAAAATATTAGTAGAGAATGATACTGATTAGTTTTAGGTGGAAATCTACCGAGCCGTTTTCTTGTAATTAACTGTTGAAAAAAAACTATATTAAACTTTTGAAAAAAAGAATTTATATAGAACTTTTTTTGGTGATATATATCATGGTCTTATAGAACTTACTGAAATATTAATACCTTACGACAATTAGCTTAATTTTAAAAAATCATCAAAGTTTTAGAAAATGAGTAGTTTGTTTGACATTTGTTAAAATTACAATTAGAGGATTTACTTGGTATAACGATAGTAGTACTTTGTCTTAATGAACATACAAAACCATTAACGTCTTGCGGAATATGATTGAATCATATAAATTATTGATTTTTGAAAATTTGTTTTTAGAAAATACTCCAAGTTAACGTGTTCGTTCGTTTTCAATTAGGTGTAATAAATCCACTCGGAATACTTTTAATCGTTTATGAATTAATTTATATTTTATTGATTAAGTCGATTATTTACACATATCGGGAAGCTCATGTAACTTGCCTCAAAGGCTAAATACCAATACCAACTGGGTTTAGTAATTTTTTAATCTCAAATAGATTTTTTTATTGAACAAAATATATCAAGTCGTAAAAGTAAAGAAAATACGTGGTGCATTTTATCGTCAGTAATATTTCGTATGAGTAAAGCTTTAAATATTCGTTAAACCATTCACCTCTGAATGCCACAGACGATATTGCTAGGTCTGACAACCAGAGCGAAGGTAACACAATAGCACATCAGGATGCCCGCCAGGAGCACGTAACTTAATTCTCGTCCAGAGGCTCGCACGACGGGTGTATCGTTGTGACGGATGAAAACGCCAGTCACAAATAGCGTGACCAGTATCCCGGTGGAAGACAAAGCCATTGCCCCAATTGCCCAGCCTGATTCCGGTCTGAGGTATGTTTCGGGTATATCGCGACAACTCACTCGCCTGATGTCCGGTACTGTTCCCTGGGCGCAGGTTATGCACTGCGTTTCGTCTGTAGGATGACGGATCTGTAATGAAAATAATATAAATATTATATAGTGATAAAATTCATATATGCTTTAAAAGTATAAATATGTGGGGAAATCAAGCAGGCTAGACTTGGAGGAAAAACAATTGGACTTGTTTTTTTATGTATCATTAATTTTTATAATCAATAACTTTTATATATTTTTATACAAGTGAAGTTTATACTTTCATAATCATTACTACTCCCACATTGGTAACCCCGACGTGATAGATGAAAAAAAAGGAGTTTTTTTTGAGGATTTAAAAAAATTATAGATTTTGATGCAGCACCATAATCACTGGTCTTCAGTGACTACTTATAAAGTACGTCCAGTCCTCGGTTCATCGTAGTTAACGAATTTACTACCTGATACCGGACTTTCGTGGTTACCCATTTGGTATACCCAGACCTCATTTTCAGTGTTTATTGCTGACACAAATGTTCATTCTGAGCATAGACCTTGGGCCATGAATTGAATGCACTATCAAATGGTCATAGGAATAACAAAATCACTTGTCATATTTTCATATCATAAATTTTTATAATCAATAAATTTTATATATTTTTATACAAGTGAAGTTTATACTTTCATATCCATAACAACTCCACATTGGAGTGTGTGGGGAAATGAAGCAGGCTAGACTAGGAGGAAAAACAATTGGACTTGTTTTTTTATATATCATTAATTTTTATAATCAATAATTTTTTTTATACAAGTGGAGTTTATACTTTCATAATCATTACTACTCCCACAAATATATGAATCATTTCGAGTAAAAAAGTTAAAACTTAAAGACAACTGATAACGGCTAACATTCAGTTCAAATGTTTCTCTCTTGCACATGGAAAATTGCGCGTATAATATTTGAATGACTATCAGTGAAATTCAAAATTATTCTTTAAAAAATGTTGAAAAAAATGTGAAAAAAGATATCATTCACTGTTTCCAAGATATTCGCTCGTAGCCCTTTTTAAATATTTATAATTTTGAAATTACTTATTTTTCGTAAAGTATTTAAACTACAGCCAAAATATGTTTATAGCAGATTTCCAAGGTCACAGAAATTTACCGTGAAAATTTGAGCACCTGGAATTTAAAGAAAAATCGATAAAATAAGAAAAGCCCTAAGGTAATGCTATATTTTCGGATAATTGCGATTTTCTCGTCAGCATTTAGGATTATTATAATCAAAATATTTTTGGCTATATGGCAATTTACCCACTTTTGGTACTAACTATTTCTTTTGATGATTCTTGATTGTGAGTAAAATGCACTAGCAAAAATCACGTAGGAAACTTTTTGGTTTCTATTTTTTTACTCGAAATTTTTTTAACAATAAAATTATCAAATATTCAAAATATATTGATTTTTATAATTTTCAAATTTATAGTACAACAAAAATTCAGTTCTTGAAAACTTAACGCAACTGTGTTGTCATTTTTCACTGTGGTCTTGGAAATATTATTCACTGTTACGGTTCCAAATAAAAATCAACTATAACAACCAAAAGTTAGTCATAATTTCACCAAAGCTCTAGGTAGATCTTAAAAGTTTATAATATCCAAACAAGTTCTAAGAATTAAGTTTTGTTAAGTTTTTTCAAAACAGTTAATGTCAATACTATCACCCTGTTTCGGCTTGACGTTAAGTTCTGGGACACCTTGTATATAATATTTAATCAAGGACAGTTTTTTTTATCTTTTTTGCTAAGTAGATTAAACTTAATTCTATTTACTAAATTATTATTAGAACCAATGATTAGATAAGTGGTTTGATTAGCAAAATTAATGCTTTAGTCAAAAAGCGCAACATATAATTTAAACTGTCCACAAACCATTAATAATAACGAAGGCTACTTTTATACAAGAAATCAGTAAATTTCAAAAGGTTTTCAATTTGCATATAAAATTACATCAACCTTCCTATAATTTATTATTTATGGTATTAAAATATCTGATAGTAGCCAAGGTTTTGTTTTAGATGTTAATTTTGAATATGATTTATTAACTAATAATCAGGGACTTGCAAATTTACTTGAAGATATCAATTATAGAACTTGTTATATAACTAATGGAAATTATCAAGTTCAATCAATTTGAGGCAATATTTAAATTAGATTTGTTGATGCGGCATAAGTATCTAATAATATTTAAGTACACCAATCCTGTTATCTGGCCATCATCTGGCATTCATCTTATAGTTGAAATTATCGGAAAATATATTATGGGAATATTTTGAAAATCAAAATTGCTCAATGGAATGAAAAATTTAATAAATATTAATACAGATATAAATTATAATGAGAAGTATTACATTATTCTTAACTTTCAAATTAGGAAAACAATCAAATAAACAATTTTACAAAAATAATTGTGTTATCAGTCTACCAAATCATTTTTCAAAAATTGAAAATCATAATTATTGTCAATAGTTAATTACCAGAAATTCGTATAAATATTCAATAAAATCATTGATTGAAAAACTGTTGATAAACAATAGATTCACACACTATTTATTAAGCAAAACTAATCAACGCCATCATCGGTTGATATTTTAGTATAAATGGATATTTTCTAAGGTGGGTTTACGATATTCTGAGAAAATTGATATTTGAATGTTTAGGTTTTTATTACTAAATAATTTGTAACAGCACAATAATTTATATTTATGATAAAATTAATTTCCTTTCTCCGAACTCTAGATCAACAATATGTTAACAAACACAATTTGGAAATTTATTAAAGAAGATCCATATGAGAAGGGTTTGTACATAAATATTATATTCGTAATACATATTCATTGTAATGTTCAAAGTTATATGAAAATAAGGGGAGTGTCATATATGATACATAATAAGTTATGTTTTGGGTATAATTGAAGTCGGGTAACAAGTATGCGATATGCGGTTCCATGACATACATCAGGGAAGTCTATTATTGAATTTATCAAAGGCATGTTTACATCAGCTAGTTTTAATATGAAACATAATAACAATAACGTTCATGACATGTATTAGAGGACAAAACACATATTTAACATATATCATAGAATTCCGATATCATTTAATTACGTAGAAGACCGTATTTAAATATTAATTCATCGCGTTCAAAATCATACATATTATCCATAAATATATAATGAAATTCAAAGTGCGTACCAGGATAAAATCTATACCCATCGAAATAAATTCGATGGTATTCTAATAATGGAATAAGCAATATATAATTGGCCGTTTGGATTTTATTCGATTTAATAATTTCATTACAACGCATTAACAGCTGTATTTTGAAGAGGATAATTATTTTGCGGATAAAATAGCTCGTTCTTGTAGCTATCCATGATTTGTCTCAAATGAAAAGATACATATTATCAGTTCTGGAGCATACTTAACCCAATATTGAATGGCCATAATGTTAACAAAAATCCATCGAAGTCGAGTACAATGTTATATCTTTATACAATTGAAGTTTACAGTTCACTTTACTATAGATAAGATTCTTCCAGACATTCTTTTATTTTGCCTGCATATGCCGCACGTGTATTGACTGGTAATGTTGGTCTGAAATAAATAGACAGCAGCATTCGAGCATTAGAGCATTCTTGAGTAGCGTATTATCCCTGATATCTTCCAGGGTCATGTCTTCCAGGAAGACTAACAAGCGAATGCTTTGACCATTATTGCACATTCTTTCCATATAATAAAATTTCATTATGGCAAAACTTTAGCAATGCCTGGATGTTTCTTTATGCTGAACATTGCTTCCAAACTAACCCGTACTAAATGCATTAAATAATGGTTATAGGGTAGGGCGGAGCACAAAAGTCCAATTTGATTTTGCGCAATTGAATTGTAAAACCTAAACCAGTTATATCACTACAAATAACACATATCAAACGAACAATTTGATCTGACTATATTCAGTAAAATTTCCAACTACTTTATTGTTGAAGAAGTATGTTTTTCTCGCTGTTTTCCAAAAATTTGTAACCTTGTACTTTTTACCCCATAAGCAAGCAATGTGGTTGCAATTCGTGAGATGTACTATATCGTTTTGCTGTTTGTATAGTATAGTATAGAAGCTTAATCGTCCACTATTATTATCTCATATTTGTTTAACGATACCTTTACATAGAACATGGCAACTGGCAATAGATGTACGAATATAACCAGCCATCACTATAATAAACGGCCATATATAAATTATTATAACAAAAGTATAGAGTAGAGCGGGGTTAAATCGGAGTAGGTCCGAGGGTAAAATGTCCACCACTTATACTTAAAAGTTAAAGGAAAAAAAAGTATAACCAGCCATCATTTTGATTCTTACGACGTTGCTATCAAGAAATGAACGACAGGGTTTGAAAATCCATAATAAATGGATTGTATTATGTTGTTAGTTTTTTGTCGTGAACACTGTTGTTTAGTTTACGAGACCTTAATATTATTTTCAAGTACTCGTCATTTAACTGTTTTACAAGATGTATTGTTAATTTTAAGTCAGATTCAATAGATGTTTATATAACCTCTGTAATAGCTCGTACGTGGGGTAAATTAGACCAATTAAACCATTACCCTGACAAAGACGTGAACAATAAAAAACAGTAAATAAAATTGTTAAATCACTTATGAAGTTATCTTACAAGAAATAAATAAAAATAGTGGTTATTTAAACTCGGCTGATGAATATTTCTGACGAAATATCAATTCAAGCTTATACGAGGTCTGTTCAAAAAGTACCCGGAATTTTCGTTTTTTCAAAAAAATATTTATTTATTCGTCTACATTAATGTGGTCCCCTTCAAAGTAGTCCCCCCCAGATATAATACACTTATGCCAGCGTTTTTTCCAATTTTCGAAGCACCCTTGATATTCACTTTTTGATATGTCCTTGAGCACTCTCAGCGATTCGGCCTTTATTTCTTCAATCGAGGAAAACCGCCGTCCTTTCATGGGTCTCTTCAACTTTGGGAATAGGAAAAAGTCACACGGAGCCATATCTGGTGAATTTTTGCACTTTGCAACACTTTATTTCATTTTTTACGCAAAATTTAATACAAATTCTTTGACTTTTCAATTCTTCCATTGTAAAAATCGCCGAGCTCAGAAAAACACGTCGAACCTTAGCGACTACCACAGACAAAGTAAACAGTGAATATAGCTGAAAATTTCATCATACTTTAGGGGCATGTATACCAACACAATAAAAAAAAATTTTTGACAATCAGACACTCCAGACCCGCGAAATTTAATTATTAGTAATTCCGGGTACTTTTTGAACAGACCTCGTATAAAGTGCCATCTTTGTAAAAATGTACCCACCAACTTATATTTTGCATGAGTTAAATAATGTAGCTTTCATTTTATAAAATCTCTTCAAAATTTAAGTAAGACGTATTATCCCAGTTTGCCTCTTGGTCGTCCTAAATTTACTCCGCTAATGGGGTTAAAAGCACCATGTTATAAATTTTTGAAAAACAGCGAAAAAACACATTTTTTCAACAATGAAGTAGTTGGGAATTATACTGAACATAGTCAAATTAAACTGTCCATTTGATATGTGTTATTTGTTGTGATATAATTGGTTTGGTTTTCACAATTCAAATGGGAAAATCAAATTGGACCATTGTGCTTTGCCCTACCCTACAACCATTATTTCTTAAAATGCCCTTTGAATTAAGAATTAGACATTGGAGTTGTTTGCCCCTGGCTGTCCTGTTTTATTCTGGGACAGATGACAATTTTAAGAAAAATGGTAAAAACTAGCTGTAAGTGGAATTCTGTCTTAAGGCAATTAAGGCATCGTGCTTTTAGGCAAATTTCTGGAACTTCCCGTACCGCAATTCAAAACTCGAGTAATTAAAAATAATCAATAATAATAATCAATAAAAGTTGATCAATGATTTGAAACTTTGAATAGAATTTCGAACCATATTTAATCATTCTATTCTAAATAATTTATTTTGAAATATTTTGGAAATTCTGAACTTTTTTTCAAAGCAATCGTACTGCTTTAACTGCATAAAGACGAAATATCAAAGCGCGTAAGCGCCGCGTCGCGGTCTAACGCGTAAACATTGGTACGGAAACCATAGGAATGTAAACAAAATTTATACTTATAGTTAAAATCTCTATAAAATATCTGATAATGTGATGTGCATATGTATAATGTTCATTTTTGTTAGCCAATTGGCTCATTTTTTTACTTTTTCCTCCATATCTCCAAAGTCGTTGGACCTGCTTTTTCAAAAATTTGAACAGTTCTTCATTTAGTGAATACAAATAAAATGTTTTTGAATTATTCAAATCGGACGCTCCGTTCTCTTAAAAACTGAGTTACCGTTTTTGGCACTTTTTGCCCCGTATCTTCGGAACGGCTAGACATGCCTTCGCCAAAAACTAATCAGCACGTTTCCTCATCAATACGAATCGAATGTTTGTTAATTATTCAAATCGGTTGATCCGTATTCCCGAAATCGTCGACGAAAATTTGTATCTGAACATACATACATATACGCACACACATACACACACATACATCAATTTTTTCTAAGGTATGCCAAAGATTTTGAAGATTTTGAAACGTAAATATCTATAAAAATTTTCATTTTCGATTTTTTTGCTATTACTATAACTTGCCCTATGGGAAGTTAAAAATATATTTCCACAATTAGGAATTAATCGAAAATTTTACATAGATCGATAGCTCGATAGTTGTTTGATACATTTAAATTAAATTAGACAGTATAATTACTGAAATTCAAATTGGGCATTTTTATATACGTCTAATTTTAAATATCCATACAAATACAAACAGCAGTTTGAATTTAATAAGTTGATATCATACTAAAAATACATTTGTATTTAATTATTCAATTTTAGATTACATAATTGCTAATTACGTTGCAAAAGTTACATAATTCAGTTTTTTTCTCTCTCGAAAAATTATAAAATATTCATTAATAACTCGCTATTTACACGCTATACATTTATTTCGTTTTATTTTTTCGCAATGTATGTTTATGACATTTATTACATAAGAAAATTGCATGCTCCTACCTGGTATTGCGTGCAATTAAAGCAGTGCCAGCAGCAGCTCTCACCCTCGACGTACTTTTTGGCCTGATCGACCGCGCAGGGCAAACTGCAAACAGATTCGGGCGGCTTGGGCTGATGGAGTTTGAACTGCACTTCTGCGGAAATGCAAAACCGTCTTTAATTAAACAATGTGCTCGCATCGATCACAGACACATGGACGACTTGCCTAACCAATGAACTAATGAAAATTCAACCGAACGGACGGTAATCCGATTTTAATTTCGATTTACAGCAACCCATTCGACGGCATAGGATTAATAGTGAATTGTATTTGTAACATGTTTATGTGCAGCACGGTGATAAAATTTAAATTGGGAAAGATTATTAATTAAAACAAAAAACATTTGCGTTACAATACATTGGGGCTATAACAATAAATCTTATGGCTAGTTATTAGGACGCTCTAGTTTCTTGCCTACCGAACTGCAACAGTATGGTTAATGTAACCTCTATTATTTTGATCGCGGCAGAGTAATATCATTTTATATTATATTTCCCAATTCTGATCATCTGTTTTCCAAATATTTTTTCATATCGGTTATTATAATGAGTCAACATAATGATATCGTTTTTTTTCAACAATATCCTAACATACGGGATCAGAATCATTGCGATATAGCGTGAATATCGATTACACAAATATTTATTTTACAATGAACTAAAAAATTTTGCGTTTATATTCTAGAATTTTTTGCTTAAAAATTTGTCAATATCACAAGTATATATTTAAAAAAAAGCAGCCAAATTAATCAAATATAACTAATCCAGAAAGTTCTGTCAAGTTTCATATCATAGCAGAAAGCTTTTCAACTTAATAATAATTTCAAATTAAAAGAAAATAAAAGGTGATATATTGTACAAATCTATAATAATCAATTAATCAAATATAACTAACCCAGACAGTTCTGGCAAGGTTTCATATTATAGCAGAAAGCGTTTCAACTTAATAATAATTTCAAATTAAAAGAAAATAAAAGGTGATATATTGTACATTCTATATCTATTTTTATTTGACATTATTTATACATGATAGAGCGGGGCTTAAATGTCCGCGGGTAAAATGGTCCACCACCAAAATCTCAAAATCAAGTAAAGTTCGATTTTTTCTAACAACAATATTTGGAAGTAGAGGGAAAAATTGTATAACTAACTATTACCTTGATTATTAATACAATGGTTGAAAATCCATAACAAAAGTACAAATGTATTTTTTAATGTTGTTAGTTCTTTTGGTAGTGAGCACTGTTGTTTAGTTTACGAGATCTTAATATAATTTTTAAGCCTAGGTTTTATATTTATATGTTTTATAAGGTGTATTATTATTTTTGAGTTAAACTCAATAAGTTTTTTAATAATAAAATAATCTCTATAAAATACACATGTGGTTCTGGTAAAACGGATCTTCACCCTGACTGACATAGGTGTGAATAATAAAAAAATAGTAAATAAAAAAGTAAATTGAGTTAAATAAGTAAATCCAACTCTGCTGATGATTATTTCTGATGAAATACCAAATTCAGTATTCGTTCAGACGTTGAGCTGTTAACATCGGTGAATAAATAATAACCTTTCCATAAATATCAAAAAGTACTAATATTTTTTCTACCTGTCCAGTGACCTGTGTTAGTGACTGCATTGTGTACAAATAGATACCGTTAAACACGTGTCCCCTTGCCGGGGGCACGCAGTGTCGTATAAACATTGTGTATTTTATATTAATATAAGTGGTAATTAAGTAAATTAACCGCATTTTTGTTGTGCTAATTAAATCAATGTCTTTATGGAGTCCGATACTGGACAATTAAAGGGCCGTCCGCCCGATAAAAATCCTCCTACATGTTCGGAAATTGGCGTGACTGTTGCAAATGCAATGAATGTGTACTATGTCGGAAATGAAAATAATACAGATTTACGTAATTCTAATAATGAGGAGATCATAATAAGAAGGGAACATAATCCAATGCAAATTAATAGTGCTGAAACGGTGATTGAAGAGTCAATTCGAATTGAAGAGTCGATTAATATGAATAATGTGTGTGACAAAAGCAATGAAGCACAAAATATTGAAATGATTGAGCAAGTACCTAGTGATGAGAATTCTAATCGAAATAACGTTGATGAAATACATTTACCGAATCGTTTTGATATGTGTGATACTGGACCTTTTTACATTTACGTAGAATCTTTAAGTAAAAACATTGGACGTTTACACCCTATGGCTCTCGGAAAATTACTACACAGATCACGATCGATTCTGAAAGAAGATTTGCTGGAGATTATCGTGATTGGTAACAATAAAGTCAAACTAGTTCTTAGGAATGGTAAAACAGCAAATAGCCTTCTTGACGATAATTTTTTTACTGCTAATAATTTGAAAGCCTACATTCCTAAATACCTATTAATTAGGGAAGGTATAATCTTTGATGTAGATATTAATCTCACGGCAGAAGAAATATTAGAAGAGATAGAATCAGTCATTCCAGTAATAGACGTGAAGTGTTTTATACCAAAAAACATCAACAAACGCAGAATCAACTCGCAATGCGTGAAATTATCTTTCAGAGGTTCAATTCTGCCGGATAAGGTAGGTATACATTCTGTAAAATGCCCAGTCAGCCCATATATTAAGAAGATCACCCAATGCCACAAATGTTGGCGTATTGGCCACGTTCGGGAAAAATGCCGGAACGACCTAAGGTGTCCCAAATGTGCAGGTCCTCATATTAAAGACGTATGTTTAGAAGATACCAACTATCTATGCTGCCTGTGCAAAGATAACCACGAGGCTTATAATAAAGATTGCAGGATCTATAAAAGATATAAAAATATTAATGAATTAATGGCAACACAGAATTTATCTTTCTACGAAGCAAAAAAAATCTTTGATAACGATAAATACTCGAGAACAGTTAGAGTTAACCTTAGCAGCTTGAATAAAGATAAAGATTTCCCTCCTATGAAAATCAAGAACTCTAACCAGAGTGGGGCTTTAATAAACAATAAATTCATGGTTCTATCGGACCTGGAAGAGGGGGAAGACCAAGGATATGTTGCAAACTTCCAGACATTTAATAAACCTAAAAGGATTCATGTTCCACCCTCAACCAAGAGAGAAAAGAATGGGGCTGTAATCGGACATAGCATAAAACCTGTTTATAAAGAAAATACGGCTGACAAGGAAAACTTTATAAACCCTAGAAAAAGAGTGAAAAACAAATCAGATTCTGATTCTGAAAATGAAGTAAAATCTAATAGGAAAAGTGAAGATCCTAACACATCAGGAGGCCTATATCATTTCATTAGGCTGCTAAAGGACGTCTATAATCCAAATGATCCCGTATTAAAAAATTTGTTAAGTGATGTTTTTCTCAAAATGGTAAAAATTAAACACAAAATAGATCCTGCAAGTTTAAAAAAGAAAAAATCTAATAAGGATTTACCTGTGAGTTCAGAAAAATAAATCAATCAGTACTCCTTTCATTATGAAACAAATAAACATTTTACAATATAACTGTAGATCAATGTTAGCAAACAAGAGTAGTATAGAACATTATATGTGGTCTCATAAAATTCATGTGGCAGGTCTGTCCGAAACCTGGCTTAAAGAAGGTCACAAATATTTTGTCAAAGGTTATCGGATTTTCCGAGAAGACAGAGTGGACGGTTATGGCGGTACTGCCATTCTAGTCAAAGACAACATATTATGCGAGAAAATTAACCACCCATTTCAGTGCCATCTTATCCAAATGTGTGCAGTGATTTTAAAATTAGAAAACCCGGTATGTATTATTTCAATCTATTGTGCGCCGAACTCTAAGGAATATTTCAAGAACATTAAAGATTTAATTGAAACTATTTCCATGCCAATACTCATAATAGGGGATTTTAACTGCAAAAATTTAGCTTGGGGTAGTGCCTCCATTGACAGAGGAGGCGAGATTCTATACAACATAATTGAAGACCTAAACCTCACCATAATGAATGATGGAAGACCAACCACTATCAGCACGGCAAGTAGGAAAGGTACGCCAATAGATCTTACTTTTTTTCCAATAATCTATATGACAAAATCCAGTGGGACATTTATGCGGGCAGCTTAGGATCTGACCATTTGCCGATTAACATTACATTAAAAACTAACTTTGATGTAAAAGATTATATATATCCCTCCAGAAAATGGAATACCAAAGAGGCCAATTGGAAGAATTACGCATGGGAAATAGAAGATAAGTTGAAAAAAGTGGTACTCCATGAGGATCATAAGTCAAAATATGATGCCATTATCGAGATCATAAACGAAGCAGCTGGTAAACACTTCAAGGAACGTAAAACAGTGGCAATTAAGCAATTTAAACCCGCTATCTGGTGGGACGAAGAATGTGAAAACCAGAAGAGGCAAAGAAAAATAGCGTACAAAAAGATGGTAGACGAGTTTACTTACAACAATTTTATTGAGTATCAAAAAATAAACGCTATTACAAAAAAAATTCTCAAATGCAAAAAGAGAAAAAAGTGGATGGATTTTACAAACTCACTCAATAGTAATGTTAATACATCAAAGCTTTGGAATATAGTGAAAATTTTTAACAACAAAAATAATAGAAACTCATCTAAGCCTCCAGTCGCTAGCTCATTCTTCGAAGACATGCTAAAAATGTTCGTTCCAGACTTGGTCTCCAATGAAATCAATCTGAATTTTGCAAATAATCTCGGAAGAGATCCCGATGACTTAATTTCTCCTATCAGACTATATGAATTTGATAATATATTAAAAAATAAAAAAGACAGCGTGCCAGGAATGGATAATATCTCATACATTATGTTAAAGAAGAGCCCCATAGCATTAAAATGTCTAATCATAGAGGTATTTAATTCAATTCTTTCTACATGCTGGATTCCAGAGGATTGGAAAAAAATTATAATTATTCCCATCTTGAAACCGAATAAAGACCCTTTGAAGATAGAATCCTATCGACCAATTTCATTATTATCTTGTTTGAATAAGACATTTGAAGCCATCATCAAGAATAGATTGGAGTGGTATATAGAAAACAAGTCTCTCTTCAATCAAAACCAATTTGGATTTAGACGAGGT